GGGGGCGATATGCTGACTCTGTAAACCGCTTAGAGAGGGCTGAAAGCCCTATGAAGCGGTATATAACTCTAACTGCTATTGCTATTGCTATAGTTCAGAAAAAGCCTCCTTTGATTCTGCTGTATTACGGATAAAGGGGGCTCCTTCCTTCCTTGCTCCCTCCCCCTCCTTTCTTTTCTCCCTTCCCTCCTCTCCACTCTTTTCTCTCTCTCCTATCCTCCATCCTTTCCTCCCGCCCTCTCTTTTATTCCTCTCCGCTCTCTCCTTCTTCCCTTCATCTCCTCTCCCTCCTTTTCTTTTCTCCCTTCCTCCTCTCCACTCTTTCCCTTCCTCTTTCTTTCCCATCATCCTTTCCTCCCTGCCTCCCTTTTATTCCTCTCCACTCTTTCCTTCTTCCCTTCCTCCTCCTCCCCCGTCCTCCCTCCCTCTCCCTCCCTTCCTTGCTTCCTTTCCTCCCTTCCTCTTCCTCTCCAGACCCTGTGGAAGTCACACGTGAGAGCTCTGAGCAGGGTCTCTAGCATCTCAGAAAACTGGGTGACTCTCAGAGGCTTCAGGGGAAGAGCAAGGCCCACTTCCAGAGGATCCAGAGGCCTGGGGCTCCAGGACTGATTGAGACTCATCTGTGGTTGTAACCCAGTTCTGCCCCTTACCTGTCTGCATAGCGCAAGGTGTTTAAGGTGTGCTCTGTGGCCACGTGGCTGGGTGACACATTGGCAATCATGCACGTCTTAGAGTTGCCCACGAAGGAGTCCTTCAGGACCTTGAGCAGGGAGAGAAGACACACAGGCTTAGTTTAAACTCTTTGGTGCATTAACTACAGGCAGTCCTTGACGTACGGCCACAACTGAGCCCAACATTTCTGTTGCTAAGTGAGATTTGCTCCGGTTTACGACCTCTCTCGCCACAGCTGTTAAGTAAACCACGGCAGTTGTTAAGTTAGTAACACTGTTGTTCAATGAATCTAGTTTCCTCATGGACTTTGCTTGTCAGTGTTGGGGGCAACCGACAGAGATGGCAGTAGATTCGGCCAGTGAGGAGGTTGGGGAGGAACCTGGGCCAGTCCTGGAGTCTGGGGAAGGCTCTGATGAGGACTCTATGTCGGAGGCAGAGAGGGGACCAGGGCCATGTGCCAGTTATCAGCTGCCTTCAGAATCGGAGATCAGTGTGGCAGAAGAACAGATTCCCAGTGTGCACCTGGCTGTTCTGACAGGCCTGGGGCTAAAGAGCTGTTGCCCCCATCTCGAATGGTATGACTGTTGTGTGTTTTTAAATTATG